CAAACTAAGGACACTGATTTGGATATTTGCATGTGGGGGCAATGTGCTTTACCTTTAACTATATGTCTGAAGTTAATTAGCCTCAATTTTCCTGACTGTGTAAACAGCCTTGAGGCCTGGGTCTTGATTTTGGCTCTGTTACACTATTCATGCCGCAAGCGGAAACCTTGCTTTCCCATCTGTCTCTGCCTGATGGAAAAAAGCGCTTCAGTTCACTAATACGTTCTTTGGAGCCCTTCAATAGCTGGGTGACTAGGTTTTCTGAAACTCTCTTTGTCCCTCGTGTTAAAGCAAAACTAGTTGGCATAACTAATGAAATAAGGTAGTCTCGAAAAATGGATACAATCATGGGATAAGGAGAGACATGTTCAAGCAACCAGTTTGTTTCCATGAGTTTGTTTTTATGCTGCGTCAAATGCTTCAGGTCGAGAGCCTGGCTGTTACCACAGTATACAGACCTAGGTACGACGGAAGTCTAAGGACACAGCAATCTCATCTAGTGAAGGTGTGTGCTTAAGTTGTGCTAAAGTCTAATGCTTCGTTGTTGATGGTTGAAAATTTGAGGGTAAAAAGAGCAAAAAGCTGGAACAAATTCTCTCTTCCTTCTTCCCCACAACTCCAGCTACCAGCGTTTCATTAGAAAAAGGAGAGTACAACACTCAAAAAAAATCACTTACCTACATTCCTTCAGTACCATTTCAGATTTTCATATCCTTTTTACATAGAAGAGAGCCAAAAAGTGTTTTTCATCATAAATCATTATATTAAAGTGTATTTACTCCTACACTTTGATGTAGAAAGTAAACTGGGATGAATGATGATTTATTCAAATTTTTGAATCACCCCCTTTGTCTCCATCTTTTGTGCTGGCTTTTTGCTAATGAAAATTAGAAAGCTAAAGTATGGAATGGTATAGAAAGAATATGACATAGTTGCACGTAGGATAAAAAGGAGCAGGATAAAATTACAGGATTATATTTTTTACATTTCACAATATCTACTTCCACATTTCACAGCTACTTTTACATGATTAGAAAAAAACCTAAATATTTTTAACATAAGGAGGATGCTTTTAGAATGACTGTCATACTGTTGCTAAGTATGATGCTACACAGTACAAGGACACAGAAGTTAAGTCAGTCTTTTGACAGCAGTAGAATGATACTGGATTCATAATTAGTGCAAATAATATCAAAGTGTGGACCGCTGTCTGATATTGAACAAAAGTAAGCTGGAAATGTCTGTTCTGGCAATGGAAGAAAAACACTGCTCCTTTTCTTTTCCTGATCTATTTTATTCCAAAGCCCTTTTTTTACACAGACCTGCACTTTGAGATATACAAATCCCTTTAAAAAGGCTTCATATCCACCACATTTCTTAAGGCTTTCTGTCTAAGATACAAATGTCAACAAATTGTCCAGAAAAAATACAAAAGCTTATTTTGTTCTTGTTATTTTTAATGATAACACCAGAAATACTTCTCAAATACTGATGCTAAAAATGTTTTTTCCCATTGTCTGCTGTTGTTAATTTGACGATGATTCCTTGTAGAATTAGCATATGTACAAAAGACGTGAATAAAACCTCCATTCATGCTTCTAGTTTCACACGGAGCACATTGATTTCAGCAGCCCAGAAAAAGGTAGATGGCATTCATGTTTTTTTTTAAATAAATGCAAATAATCCCCCCCCAAATGATCTGATTATAGTCCCAGTTGAGATATAGATTTCTGATCGCAGTGCACCTGCTTGGTGAGGCTTCTCCTTCCATGTTACATCAATAATAAAGCAATGAAGAAGCTTTCAAAAAAATTTCTGTCAGACCTCACATCAGCATTCACTCAAGTAAATCATAAAAACATGTATAGGACATTTAAACAAATTTAAAGTGGGTGTATTTACCATGATCCAATCTCAAGTGGTAAGGATATCATTTGTCCATAATAAACTAAACAAAACAAATCAAAACGTGACCAAGCAAACATATCCTTTCGCAAATGAACTGAGGTTTTTTTGTTTTAAATCTATAGCTTAAAATAATGGCTCCATCACAGTATTTTGTACACCCTGTTTTGATCTAAGCTATCCAGTGGATTTCCCTTTTTACCATGTTACTGCACTGATGATACCAGCCTTTACAGGCAAAGACATTGGCCCCGGCAGGGAAAGGCAGAATTTTGAAAACCAGTTGGGCTAGTAAATGGAGGAAGGATGAATTTCAAACTCTTGTGCTTTTAAATACATTTGCTTCAAAGCCTGTTTTTTGTAGAGCCTTCTCTGGAAACTGGTAGAGTGTATGAGCAATCTTATTTTGGCTGAGTGATCCCCATAGCATTAGTTGTAGCTCAGCATCCTTCTCACCTTGCAGAGGCGGGGAGGGAGATAAGGATTATTTTTATGTAACCTGCGTATAAATTTGGTTACCTTTTAAATGAACAGATTTATAAAAATATTACATAGCAGCACAGTTTGAGTTACCATTTTTGGATATACAATTGTAAAATTATAATTTTGACTTTTATTAATACATTGGAAAAAATTGAAGTGAGTCACGTAAGCCAAGTTTTTTCATAATGTGAGCCATACTGGACTTAATTGCAAGGAATGGCAAAATATTCAATTGCAGAGAAAGAAGTAACAGCATCACTTACCTCAAAACTTACAGATCCATTGTGATCAGTGTCAAATGCATTAAACAGAAAATGTGCGTAAGTTGTGGAATCTACAATTTAAAACAGTAAAAATAATTCATAGTAAGCACATGTTATTTCATTTAATTTCATTCAATGAAAAAATTGATACCAAGATATATTTTGATACCAAAAATTGATAGCATGACTAAATTTTAAATTCAGTTTAAACTTGTTTTTGGCAGGGGAGGAGAGATAAAATATAAGTGCAAATATGTGGGTAGCTATGCTGTTAGGAAGAGAAAATTTTAAATTCTAGTCTAGAATTTCTTTATTCATTTTCGTTCCCATTTCTACTGGTTACTCATATCTGAATGAATAGCAAAGAAGTCATGTTATTGTACTCTGAAACAACCTGTGTTAATGGGAACACTACTTTATCAGTTAAATGACCATGATAGGGAATCTACCTCATACGTTAACAAAGAAAAATGTGTTCATTTGTTCACTTCAAATGAGGGAAGCAGACACTACCATCTGTGCACCTGGCATATCATTTTTACTCTGAAGACAAGCCTGTTGTTACCCTGTTGAAAATGATCTTGTCAGAAAGCTGCTGTTGGGCTTAGATCCTACGCTCACTGTCCTGGTTTCAGCCCGGATAGAGTTAATTGTCTTCACGGAAGCTAGTATGGGGCTATGTTTTGGATTTGGGATGAGAAAATGTCAATAATGTGCTGATGTTTTGAGTTGTTGCTGAGCAGTCAAGGACAGTCCAGCTTCTCGTGCTGGCCAGCCAGCGAGCAGGCTGGGGGTGCACGGGGAGCTGGGAGGGGACACAGCCAGGACAGCTGACCCAGGCTGGCCAAAGGGGTATTCCATACCATATGACATCATATTCAGTATATAAAGCTATATAAAGAAGAAGGAAGGGGTGGAGGGATGTTCGGAGTGATGGTGTCTGTCTTCCCAAGTAACCATTACGCGTGACGGAGCCCTGCTGTCCTGGAGATGGCTGAACACCCGCCTGCCCGTGGGGAGTGGTGAATGGATTCCTTGGTTTGCTTTGCTTGCATGCGCGGCTTTTGCTTTACCTATTAAACTGTCTTTATCTCAACTCATGAGTTTTCTC